TGTGAGGGAGCCCTGCTTTCCTGGAGATGGCCGAACACCTGCCTGCCCATGGGAAGGAGGGAATGAATTCCTTGTTTTGCTTTGCTTGCGTGTGCGGGTTTTGCTTTACTTATTAAACTGTCTTCATCTCAACCCACGAGTTTTCTCACTTTTACCCTTCCAATTCTCTCCCCCATCCCCCCTGGGAGGAGTGAGTGAGTGGCTGTGTGGCGCCCAGTTGCGGGCTGGGTTAAACCATGACAATATCTGAGATTATTTTGTCCCTCTATTACAAATTCTCTGAAAATAAAGCTAGGAAAAAACATAGTAATAGCTAAAGAAATCAATTTCTGGCTTCCTAAACAGGCTTGCAGCATTGCATTCTTTACTTCCTGTCCCAACTTCCCATGTTCTGTTCTTGCATACTGTTATTTCCTTCGGTTTTGGTTTTTTTTTTTTTTTGGTCATTACTGCATTGATCAACTCTGGAAAGAATTAATGACTGACACCTTTGTGCTTTGGGTCATTTCTGAGATGTCAAAAGTGTTAGTGTGGGAACCATACCATTAAGGACTGAAATGATACACAACAGGAAAGACAAATAGTTAACATAATAGGCTTCAATATACAAATTCCACTCCTTATTTAGCCTGTTTGACTCTCGGAAAGCACGTAAAACTTTGTATGCCCAAATTCCTCATCTGGGTGCAATGGCATATACAGTGAAAGTTCTGGGGGCCTCAGATCCTAAAGTAATAGAAGTTAAATAACTAACTTAATAGAGAGGCTTACTGGTATACACTTCTTTCTGCCTACAAAGCTGAAGATGATCTACTATCATATGATGAATTTGAGGGTGTTTCTAGGGACAGTTTATCTATCTCTATGGATGGCATCAGCCCTCTGTCACAAAATGTAAATACGTAACTGCCTGATTTAAAGTAAAGACACAAGAAATAATCTCAAATCTTTCTAAATTTGTAACATCTTACAGGTATTTTCCTTCTGTGCAAATGATGGAGATTTGCTAGTAACCTGAACTGCCTACAATGAAGGAACAATTATCATAAGACACAGTTTAGATTGGCATGTTCAGTAGTTAAGTTTGGAAAACATCAGCAGGCCATCCAATCTCCTTGTTATGCTTAGCTGTGGAACCCCATTCAGGAACGGTCTAACTTATGTACGAGCAGCCTCTGGACTTCTGGGACATTACAAACCTGGCCATGTCTTCAGATAAGCCTGACAGAGACAGCTAGTTAGAGACCTAGTTCTAGATTGGCTGTTGAATAGTGGTGTAGATGTGCATCTGGCTAATGTCTCTGACGTCCTCCCAGCTTATCTTTCATTTGGTGGTAGCAGGAAATAAAGTTGTGGCATTCTCAGAACTGGGCGTATCAGATGGGCAGGGCACGGCTGACAGGATATAAGAGGAGAGGAGTTTTTTCTAAGACAGAGGCTATTAGTTGATACATTCTGTTGCAGTGCCTCCAGACATCTCTGTCCTTCTACAGGACGTCTAGTTAAAAATCATTCCAAATCTAAACATTCTCTGCAGCCTATGCTGAAATAGTTATTTGTTTCTTCTTTGTTTCACTTCAAAAGCACTAAACACTAAGAGGACCATTTTCATCTCTAATAGGGAAAATATCCATATGACTAATGGCTGGGCACCTTCATCTGTTACCTCCTGTTCACTGCAAAGAGCTCTTGCCCTAAGTGTACTATAAGAACATAACAATCATATAATAAATTATAAATTATACTCTAGAGATTCTGCTACAGTCATCATAGTACTATGCCATCTAAGTGCTTTCCCGCAGCAGTTTTGCAAATTGGGTAAAATGTGCCATATGCATACGAAGCCATGGAGATATGATCAAAAGGCAGAGATGAAAAGGACGGTATTTTATTAGCCCCTATGTAAACCATACAGTTTGCTCCATGTCTTGAAAGCCCCACAGAAAGCAAAATGGTAAACTAAACTGAATTTTGGATATACTGCTTGAGTACAAAACTACAGAGACCAAGGAGTCTCCTGCTAGACAAAACAAAGCTGGCTCATTCATACCTTTCCTCTTCCTCTGGAAGTAACTGAAACATGAGAACGTTTTTGGAACAAATGATTGCCTCTAACTCCTCCAAGTACAAAGAATCAACAAAGTGTCGTTGTGTGAAGAACCTAAAGAAAGAGAAACTCCAGCACTTACCACCCTATTCAGCTCACATTAGTAGTACAAAATTTTATTAATTCTATTCACTTTAGAATACCTGTTCAGTTGTTCTCAACTTCTTGCCTTACTTCCCTCCCATGCCCAGCAATTGCAAAATACTGATTACCAGAAAGGAAAACTAAACAATAAAGGAGAAGATCCTAGCAACCATGACTAGCCCAAGATTAGCAGATAGATGAACATTCTCTCCAAAGCAAGGGATTGCTTTAAATTAGTCTGCTCCTGTTCTTGTTAGGGAACTGAAAAGAATTTCAAATTAAGAATAAAGCAAAAAGCTGTAAAAATCAATATCCCGAGTGGCTTTGTAATCAGATAACCTATTATGTGCTGAGGGCACTCCCTCCAGGCGTTCGATGCCTGCTTACTCCCTTGTGCCACTGCCCTTCATGCTCTTCCGTATTCACAAATCTTCAGCTGTGAGGTCCTTGAGAATGTATTCTGCTCTATTTGCCAAGAATCACACTTTCAGCATTTCTGCATTTCATCATGATTGCAGAGCTGCCAGCAATACAGTGACAGAAAACCAGGCCAGCTTTCTTCAGGACCCACTCTGACTGCCAGCCTGTGGGGGCTTTGCAGCACATAACAGCGTCTGAGTTAGGAGGCCAGATCCTGTACATTCAGCAGAGGGAAAAAGGCATCTTCAGGAGATACTTCCAAATAGCAGGACCTAACTGGATGCGCTGAACGGCCTGTTGAACTGCCAAAAACTTCTGTTTCACCTATGGGGACACCGTACCCACTAATTTAGACAGTGTATGGTAATGCCCCATTATAGCTGGCGTTAGAAGTACACACCAATTTTCCATTGGAGCTCTGGGACCACTTCAGTGTAGCTAAATACAAACTCATCCAGTATTTCCAAGCTGTTTTATGGATAGTGTAAAGATCACAGTTGGTGATCTGTCACTCACAGTTGGTTCACTTGGAAGACACCATTAAGGCATCCACTGCAGGAGAAAGAAACACAATAGTGTTTGGGGTAAAACTTGCCTTTTTTGTTCTGTTTGTTGCCAGCTAGCAATATTCATATGTGCTTTCAACCTTTGCTAGCAGAGAGATGCTTTTGCACCAGTGAGGGCAAAACCAGGCCCCCAGAACTGCAGTAGTGACTATTGTTCTTTCAAGAACATAGCTTATAGCTACAAACACCTGTGAAGTTCAGTGTACCCCTTCTAAAAGAGCGCCTATCCCAAGAACACAGGAAAAAAAAAAATAGGCAGAACATAATGTTTTGGGTTTTTTATATGGCTGCTTTTAACCCAAAGAGCTTTGCAAACTGTAGACATACACAGGAACAGTTTCAACAATATTGTAACATACAACTACTTGATACCACACAAAGATTACCTAGCAGTGAGGGACCTCAGCCTTGATAAAAGTATTTATGTCATCGTAGTGAATGTTTAAGTTACAATACTGCTGAGAGATCCTGAGCAGTACCCGTGGAAGAACCAGCATGCCTGAGAGGGATTAGCAGGCAGACATGGAAACTGACTCTCTCTTAAACCTTTCAAAGCCTGCTCAATCCTCTTAAGAGGAAAACTTCCTTTTGTGCCAAAACACAAGAAATAAGCTCTTTCTAAGGGTGTCCATTCAGACATATTTGGCCAAAAAAGATAATGACATGATACCTGGGAATTTGGAAACAAGAAGAAACTGCCTTCCTGGAAGGTAACCAAGAATATAAAGGAATGAATGTCTTAGAAAGAAGAGCATTTGGGTAACATGAAGTTGGATTGTCATCTCTTACACTTACGCAACCCTGTACAGATTCCATCACTGCACCCATAGGACACTCCCTGTGCTCCAGGGCAGCTTCTATATAAACACTGGATTCTTCTGTATGGCCTTTCAGGGGTAATTATTCAATGCAATGAATCCTGCAGCAAGCATGCAAAGAGACTGAAATGTCACCGAGGCATGCTGAGCATTATGCCAAGAGATATCCAGGAGCTGGCTAGCTATGGAAGGGACATATGGAAATGCCCGGACTACCGGGCATTTCCCTTAATGATTAGAATGGTAATTTTTCTTTCAAACAATAATTGCTGTGCATCCTCTTTCCTCCTCTGAACATTTTCCCCACATTCAAAGGACACGCAAAAGCAACACTGGCCAGCTCAAAGCAGCCCTCCTTCCCTCCCCCAGCTCAGCGAGGCCATTTCCCAATTCCAGGAGGCTCACAGCAGCTTGCCTGGGCTCAGAGCTGAAAGGCAAGGCCTCCTTCCACCCTTCCTCAAGCCCTTCCTCAAACAATCCAGCTCCTGCATGCAAACAACCCTACAGCCGCCATCTTGAGGCACTACCTTAGCCTGAGAGGAAGAGCAGCAGGGCAAGATGGAGGCCCTCCTCACCAGCCAATCAGAGGTGTCCCAGAGCAACACCCATCCAATGAACACCCACGGTCAGCTTCCCTCAGCCAATCAGCTTCTAGCACTCACCAGCAGCCGGGCCCCAAGGTCAGGCAGAGCCATCCCCTCAGGCAGCAAGACGGCAGGATGGGGATGGAGGGGAAGATGAACACCAAGATGTCCAGGCCCTTCCCCACAGGGCCAGAAGTGCAGCAGGCGCACCCAGCCATCCCCCAAGGTGAAGGTAGAGCTGACCCCTTCTCCTCCCTGCTTTCATGGAGGGCAGGAAAGCTCACTGGCCGCCTAGGTGTTTCTCAGCAGTGCTAGAACCACCACCTGCCCTCGCTGCTCCCTCTTCACCACTCCGTGTCACTGCTGCCACTTGACTGAAAAGAGCAGAAGGTCTGAAAAATGGAGCCAAAGCTTGTTCTTGGTTTATAAATTTTTATTAGCTGGATAGTGTACACAGTACTTACAATTGCATCTATTAAAGACCAAAATACACTTGAAAAAATGCATCATATAAAAAAAATTATAAACTTTTAACTATATACAAACTTTGCCTTACATTATGTTAATCTCAGTACCCTCCCACACCCATTCACAAAAGATTTTGTCCCCCCCCTCTTTTTAACATGCAAGGCCTTAAAGCCATTTAGCATCACTTGAGGACCATTTTCCACAGCCCATTCTTTACACCCATATAAAACTGGGTTTTGATCGGTTCGCTGCTCCAGTGCTCTCTGGGTCAATCGACCACGTTTCTCATTCTCCCCGAGCCGCCTCTTTTATCCTCATCCACACTTTTATGCACTCCCAAAGTGGAGTTTTTGCTCAAGTGTAGCCAATCCACAAAGTATTCTCGTTTAATTACTAGAGAGGTTTGAACTTGATGACGTCTCCAATTTAACAAATTTACCCAGGAAAAGAAAGCAGACTTTTTTGATAACATGGTGTTGACCGATAACTCCAGTCTCACCAAGCAAACACTACTTTTAGAAGTGAATACACATAACCCAAAGCAAATGAAAAATATGACAGTAGCACTCAGGCTTTCACATCACTATTTAAAGTATTAACGATAAGACTTCCTATATAACACAAATCCATAGGTCTTAATACACATTCTACAACAACAGATCAGAGAACCTATATATGAAGGTCTTATTGGGAAAAAAGTTCTAGCTGTTCTGAAGAAGTTTACAAGTTCTTTAAGAAAAGAAGTAATTACTCATTAAAAAAAATACCTATGTCAGAGCAGTAATCTTGCTTCCCTAACTTCCAACTCTCAGAGGGGGTTCTCCAGAGACTAGCCATCAGTTGAAGAGCAGAAATGTTATGGAGAGGCTGTCTTACTCCAGCACAGAAATATTCCTCCAGCACATGAATACGCCACTGACAAAATGTACAGATGATCTACAAAACTATTTACAATAATGCTGCAAATTCAACTAAAGCAAATTTTTTGTTATTCCTTCACTAAAAGAGAGCTACATATTTCCTGAAATGGGTGACCTCACAAGAAATGCTAGGTGAGGATTTCATAGTTGCCCACTGAAGAAAATAAGCACCATGCTCTAATTGGCCTAGTATTTTAAGGCGGAAGCAACCAAAGGCACCAAAGATGCCATCAATGCAATGGAGGTAAACAAATGCCTTTTGAATCATTAGAAAAAAAATCCTAATGTAAGATTTGTGAGCAGAGCGTTAGATTACCAATATAATTTAAGACAAAATCGAAAGAAAGAACATTTATTTGCATGTAAAGAACGAGGCCACTTCCTTCCACAGCTGCAGGTGTCACTGTGCGTTGAACAGTTTCTTTCTCAGCTTCAGTTCACCAGGTCAGCTGTGAAAGGGTAAGAACATGGAACTAAAAATTCAGAAAGAAAATGAACTGAACTCCATTTAGAAAATCCAGCTGCCTAACTAGAAATACCAAATCTGCATTTCTTCTTTGTTCTTTCACTGGCTATGTTCCTTCACAGATGGCTGACCTAAACATTGTCATCCTTAGTATCTAGACAGGCACACTCTTCCTCCAAGATTGCCTGCTGGCAATGTAGAATCTAACATTTCTCCACATTTCTGCTCCTTCCTCTTGCGTTCCTTCCCATCTTCTCATACGCTTAGGTCTACTATTTCTTTCATCCAAAGTAAACAGAATTTTCAAGGCGCTCTCTTTCAGTACCCTCCCAGTCTTCTACAACTTGCTATTTTGTCCTCCATTTTGCATTTAGTCATAAGCTTTCAGTAAATGGGAAAAGACATAGGAGGGAGATAATATGGGTTCCATTTTTCAAGTTTCATTTACTTTTTTTGTCACTTGAAAACAGAATTCACTGAATTTAAACCAGTCTCTCCTGTCCTTGGATGCTTTCCTCAAAAACACCCCACCCTTTGCTACTTTATCTATTCAGGTTCATAATCACCTCCCTCAGTAACAATGCCTGGCAATATTTCCAATCCATGCTTAACTGCCATGATGCAGTTTTATGTTTTACAGAACACAAAAATTGGAAGAGATGGGACTATAGCGTGCAGGTGATACACAGAGAACCTGTAAAACTCATTCAACATGGGAGGAGACAGGCATGGAAAGATGCAAGTATCACCTGTTAAAATGCTTATGAACTACAGCTTCCATCGCCAAATTTCAAATCATTAAGAATGGAGCAAGCTTAAAATCTGTAATGAGCTATAGAATTAAAGATAATGATATGTTTTGTCGAGATACTCAGCCAGAAGCCAGCTATAGGTCATGAAAAAATCCTTTTTTTAAAGTGTAAGCACTCCTCCTTCATTAAGTGCCACATTTTTTTTTTAATTTAAAGAGGATAGTCTATAAAAAGCCCGAAAGGTTCATCAATATCTGCCTTCATTTGGTTAACAGTCCTTCAGTTACATCAGGATGAGCTGAGTTGAGTTGCCCTATGCTTCTGCTGTCATGAAACAATCCCTCACTCTGTGTAGAATGAGAGAATTGTGGAACTGATTTAGAACAGACATCAAGAAACACCATCACAAAGATGGTCAAGTGCTATCACTCGGAGATTGCAGATCTTATGTCTTTTGGAGGAACCATGCACTGGACTGGCAAGTTAGAAGGAAGATTAAAGAAAGAAATCCTTTGGAAGAGAGTCACTTAGAAGTTTTAATCCTTTTTATACTAGCATCCACTTTTCTTCCAAAGCAACAACCACTGGCAATAAACATACTAAAAAACACCAAGAGATTACTTTTACTATTTAAATCCTTATCCCCACATCACCCTCTCCCCTCTTACTTCTTGGAACAGATACACAACATATCAAGTTCTGTAATAATCTTGAAATATTTCTATCATTGTGACTGGATGGCTGAACTTTTCCCAGAGAAGAGCTTGCTGTTTACATATTTTACAAGGTGGAACTTCAAAGAACCCCCTTCAGTTTCTGCCAGTTTCAGAAGTGCAGATGCAACAACAGGGAACAGTTCAGTTGACAATACAGTCCAAAGGTGTAAGGAGTGAATGTAAATAACAAGTCTCTGCTGGGAAAACAAAGTACTGTGGTGTAGCCACGTCAGTGCTGGTTGCTATAAACTGCATTATGTCTCTGTACCAAGGGCCATAACTCCAAGAGGTCTTTCCTGGCCCTGCTTCAGCATGCCAGAGTTATTGCTGATCACTGAGTCAGTGGCACACTCTCACCCATGGCCAATCTTAATGCAAGAGATGTTTAAAAGCAAAAAAAAAAAAAAAAAAAAAAAATGTTAAAAAAAAAAAAAAAAAAAAAAAAAAGGCATGAACAGTCAGACTCTGAAATCGCTGTGCTGGATCAGAAGAGTATACCAAGAAAGTCATTAAGTTTCTATTTGTTGAGTCAACTGCAGTTAAAATCTCGACCACATACTGAAAACGTGGTGCTTGTTCTGTAGAAAAGGATAGGCTGTGATATGGCGATTGTCCCGTTGAAAGACTCGCTTGATACGCTGGAAAGGTAGGACAGACTTGCAGAAGGGACGGGAATTCTGTTCAGTTATTTTTTTTCTTTAAGCAGTGGTTAGGAGACTCTGATCATCTGTGTCATTGCTTCTTCATTGGCCTGAGTTGGATCCTACAGATTCAAAATACATATCATGTTGTAACTTCAACATTTTTCCCGTAACAGCAGAGAGAATCACGCACAACTCTATCAAGAGGAGATACTCCTGCCCCCTCCCTTGATCTCTAAACATGTCATATTTTTCCAGGGTTTTACAGGCCAGTGTAAGAGAATGGGATATATAAATCCTAATAGTTCCTAGTAATGCATTGTTTCTGGTAGTAGGGAAGACCTAGTACTGGTCTAGTATTTGGAAAGGATTCCACTTCAGAATAAGAAATAGTCTTCCGCTAAAGCCACAGGACTGCTTTAAAGCACTAATCAACAACAGAATTTGCTAATTCTACTCCATTGTGTCCCTTCCTTTGAAAACCTGTCTTGCACTTTTAATGTAAATCAGTGTGCGGCTAAGAATCAGATATTAACATTTTTTCATTTTCCATCAGATGTAAGATAAGGTATTTCTACCTTTAACTCATGTCCTAAAAAAATACTTCTGGTATGCAACCAGAAAGGCTACAAAGACCGTATTTCTTAGGACAAACAAATACAAGCATTCTCTGTAAAACAAAGTGAGTACATTTCTATCAATGTTACTATAATTTAATTACTCAAGGCAAATAGACACTTGCTCTCTACAAGAAGTGAGACAGAAGGTTTCTTTACAATGCCTGAAACAAAGTCAAAGGCAGAGAGGGACAAAGGTCAGCAGCCTAATCCAAAAAAGAACAAGCAGAACAGTACAAAGACACCTCTAAAGTGTATTTTGAAGAACTGAAAGTGGCAGTTGTCCAAAGAACAGACAAAATTCTACTTACCTGCATATGAGGGCTGTCTTTTTCCTTTGGTGAGAAGAAACGTCCACCTTCTCCCCGCTTCCTGGCCATAGCATGACGATGCCGAGATTCATGCAAATATTTCTGCAACAATATAGAGAAGGTAATGAGAGACCAGCCTACTATTTGTAGTTCAGTACTTTCAGAAGGGGAAATTCCTGACCACTAGAAAAGCCTACCCAGTCCCCATCCTTCCCCAAAGATAAAGTGTTTACAGTAAATGCCCATTTGCAATACAGCTACGTGCATATTCAACAATTAAAAGCATGCAAAGGAAGCAGGACTGCCACCAAGGGAGTTAAAAAAAAAAAAAATTTACTCCGATGTAGCTTTATGAACAACAAAACAAAACACAAACAAAAACAAAACAAAACCAAAGAACACTAAGATTCCAGTCTTCATTTTCCAGCACAGGTGGTTTTCTGTGCCTTTCTCATAAAGCAACCCTGTATTAGATCTGAGTTATATTCTCACCCTTCTTTCTTTGGGAATTTTTCCCTCTGCTTCAAGTTTAGCACGTGCCTGCCTCCTCTTAAGGATCCGGTGATACTGCTTGGCATTTACATAGAGGGGCTCTTCTTCCAGCATTTCTGCTCCAGGCAAAGGTATTCTCTGGATAGCTGGTACTGATCCAGCTCCAGGTACCATCTGTGCAGAGGAGAATATGTTTTTAGTACTTGCAGCTCAGAACACAAAGTGAATGCAAAAAAGATTAAAAAAAAAAAAGTTAAAATGGAAAGTGTTTGGGTTTTGTCCAGATAATGCACCTACTTAAATTGAAAGGAGTAATAAAAGTTGTTCTCAAACTGCAGAACAAATTTAAACAAATCAATTACATATAAGTTCTGCTTGGTTTTTTTCATGATAATGGTAAAATTTCAGTACAACATACAATTCTATGACCATGTTACTGCTTCTTGTACAATTAAGCATACAGGACATGCCCATTGCTTCCCTTTCTTTTTGATTATCACTTATTTAATTTATATGATAATTTCAGAGCATTTCTTAAGCAAATATTACTTGTAGAGCTGCTGACATCTAGTGGGGACGAACAATAAAAGTCATGTTAAAAGGCATCACACTACAAAGATAAGAATTGGCAGAAAAAGCCCTCTTATGAATCAGAAAAACAAATACTAAGGGATCCTTAAGAAAAGCAATAGTTGATTCAATATTTTTAACCCTCTACTTATCAGTTAACAGCTTATTTTGCATTTCAGTTTCTAGATTTCTGATCTCAGTAACTGCTGTGGGAGAAAGTACAGAATACATAGATCGCAATAGCACACAGGCCATTAAAGCTGAAAACTTACCTTGTTTAAACTTTAAACCAATGGTAGCTACTGAGAAGACTGATCATATTAAGGTGACATGAATCTCAGACAACAGTTTGTGTACAGGCATCTTAAACCTCAACCTTTAAAAAGATCAATGGGAAGTTAAATACATACCATAACCATTCCACCTGAATTGACAACATTTCCAGCAACTGGCAGCGTCACTGTGACAGTCCCTTGTCCACTACTGGTTGTATTGGTGTTGGCTCCCGTTTGGACAATTTGCGCTCCAGCCAAACTGGCTGCTGGAATGGTGATCATGCCTGTAACAGGGACTGTAACTTTAAGAAAATAAACACAAAAGAAAAAAGAAAAAAAAGAAACAAAAACACGCACACAAAAAGAAGGGAACACCATTAGTCCCACTTCTGTTTTTTACTCATTCATCCTTCCATAACATGCAAAAAGATTTAGAAAAGCATTGCAAGTTACTAACTAAATTGCATCACCTGGTCTTCATACTTCCTATTTTTTGCATTTGTATCCGCACAGTAATTCCAGTGTCAGATAAGAGATCACATACTCTAAGGTGTAAAAGCAAACTTAAGTGTTTCTAGTCTAATAGCCCTTGCCAAAGAAAAGAGCCATATTTTATTTTTCTGGGGAAAGAACCGCAGGCTGCATTCCTGTATAATAACATAAACATCTCTTCTTCCATTCACTGTGCCAACAATTCAATGTCACAGCACTCACAGCACTACTAGTATTGCAACTCAATGTTTTCTTTGACAATAATTACAAGGCAATAAAAACCTATCAAAGAGATAATTAAGAAGTCCTGACTCTTTTCACACCAAAGCTCATACCTTGTTGGAGAATGGTTCCATCAGCATTAACTGGCTGATAGACTATGGTCTGGCCTTCAGCTGCTTGTGCTACCTGTTGTCCTTGAACTGCTATTTGTTGCTGGGTCTAAACAAAACAAAGAACACAGTAACTTTACAAATCGCTTATTTTTCAAATTTTACAATTCCTGAATTAACACATGGCGCTTAAGGTGTTTCAGGCATCTATTTCTTTTGCTTTATTACCAGCATCAAGAAATAGGATGGAGCACAAACCAATTGAACTGTAGATAAAATACCTAAGGCACATATAACATACTTCTTCTAACAGTGTAGTATTTAATATTGAAAGAAACAAGTTCTAGGTTTCCTGTCTCACTATGAATATGTTAAAGGAAGAACTATTCTGCTCAGAAATTTAATTGTGGTCCTAAACAAAAGAATAAGCAGAAAACCAAGGTATGACTAGACTACTTCACAAAATGGCGCAAGTATGAAATTAGCAATACTTCATGTTTTCAAATTTCAACTAATAGACAAAAACAACCATGAACCAATAAAATACAGAAACACAATGGATAAAAACATGCAATCTATTTATTCTGCCCCAGAGTTATGTATGAAAACACTACAAAAATATAAAATTTATTCTCAAGTTCTCCTCAATATTAATAATTCCTCCTTTTTTTTTTTTTCCTTTTTTTTACTTAACCATACCTTAAGTCATTTGTCAAGTTTCTCTTCCTATTTCTCTCAACAAAACCCTTTCATGCTGGTGCAGTTACCTGTGTCTGGCCAGCAGTAACTGCAGTCTGTGGCTGCTGTATAATGATCTGCTGGGTCTGGCCCTGCTGCCCCTGTACCTGCACAGCCTGCCCACCTTGAATCTGAATCTGACCTGGCTGGACCAACTGAATCTGTGGAAGAAAGAGTCAGAAAGGAACATTAACTATGCCTCTTATTTCTCCCTCCTTGGCCTCAGCATTACCAAATCATCTCTGAGGATGATTTACTGTTGCAAAGAAAAAGAAAGCACTGATTCTTCTCTTTTTCCACTTTAAAATGAAGAGTTTTAATTTATTCCTCCCTGTGACACAGCAGTCACAACCATGTAGAATAGAGGAAACATAACATGCTAGCGTCATTATGCCCTAGCAGTTCTCCACTGCTTACACAATAAAACAGTCGAAAGAAATAAAATATTCACATGAAACTAGGAATAATAATACTCAGGTGAAAGAAAAAAAAGGACTAAGATTTAAGATATCTGCAGAGTGTTAATTATCCAGCATACAGAAGCAGTCCTGGATATACACAAAAGCTGACTTCAGCTTTGCAGAGAAGTCCTTCCACCAACGTGGAACATTTCTTAGATTAGAAGAGAGAACTGGAATACGGTTTGACGCTTGAGCTTAAAAACCCAGTTATGGATTTTCCTCCAACAACCAGACTGTAAAGAACCTAACACAAAATATACTGGGTTTCAACAGAAGAAATTTTAAATAAACACTAAATAAACCTCTCAAAACACCGAGACATCATGTGCCTTCCTGGACTGTGCTGAGCTTGATTCCTAAATCCCATTCTCAAATCGCTAGAACACTTTCATTATGCCACTGTTACAGTTCTTCCCTTTGCTTTTGAGGAACACACTTTGAGCACCTGTTTAAATTTAAAAA